GAAACCTTAAGTGCACTCTTTTGGGGAATAATTCTAAGAAATATCAGTTATTAGTTAAAGGAGCTTTCTTACCTACCATGCGTACTTATCTACTTAACAAAAATGAAATATCGTCGCACCTCCAATTTGAATTTTTTGTTTAGTTCTTTTATACCGTAAAGAAGTCGAATTTATTTCTTGGTACTAATTGTCTTTGAAATATTGCTACTCCCGTTTTGACACTAACCCTACCTTAAGCCTTTTTAGGCCAAATATTAACAGTGTATTCTTCTTCGAAGACGTCCGTTTTAGGTGATGTAGTAATCAGAAAACCTCGACCAAAGAAATTAAAATGGCAACACCGTTTAACAGTGATTCGATCTGTCTGCTTTAATTTCTTTTCAGGATCATGCTTGTTTAACGTTACTTGCTCGCTGCTTAACGTTGGTACCTGTTAACGACGTTGAAAGCATTGTTGACGATACCCAGGTTAGTAAAAACTGAAGTGTACTTTAGAAAAACAATGTCTCTTACAAAAAATGGTGTTGAACTTGTCTGACTGAAACAGTGGTATGACCCCATGGTAACTTCATTAGTTTTTTTCCTCGTTTCTTTCTCTTCTACGTATTAAAAATCAGTTCCTTTTGTTGTTGTTTTTTAGACCATTACCACGAAAGCGTTAGTTATTCGATGTAACGCGATTGCTAATGGAAAAGCGCCGATGAAATGGCTTATGCCTTGTATTGAGTCAGGGATACTAACAGCTGATATCAGTGGTAAGTAAACTGTTGATATCTGTTTGATTTGTCATTTTTAAAGTGATACCAAATGATTGTTATGTAAATTTATTATATAAATTCTAAAGCTATCTATTCTAAAGCAGTTAAGAAAAATTTGTCTATCACTGCCGGGACAATCCTATTAGTAACTACGAATCTGAATGTTAAGTTAGCTAAGCACAGAAATTCAGTCCCAGATTGTCAAAATATAAAACAGGTCTCGCAACTAAACTCTCAAACTGGTAAGCCTTTTACAACGAGGGAAGGTGTAAAACAAATGAAAGATGTCAAGGAATGTGTAAACAATCCGCCATGTTTGGTCAAACTTATGCTTCGAAACATTTGCCTGGTTACTTAGCACAGACGAAGGGGTTATTCTTTCATGTTACGCTTACGCCAAATAGATATATCCTTCATGTAATAGTAATAGACTGTTTATCTCCCTGTATACCTATGTATACCCACGTATACCTTGTATACCCTGTATACCCATGTATACCTTGTATACCCTGTATACCCATGTATACCCTGTATTCCCCGTATACCCATGTATACCCTGTATACCTTGTATACCCTGTATACCCATGTATACCCTGTATACCCTGTATACCCATGTATACCCTGTATACCTTGTATACCCTAGATACCCATGTATGCCCTGTATACCTTGTATACTCTGTATACCCTGTATACCCATGTTTACCCTGTATACCCTGTATACCCCTGTGTACCCCTGTATACCCATGTATACCTTGTATACCCTGTATTCCCTGTATACCCATGCATACCTTGTATACCCTGTATACCTGTGTATAACCTGTATACCCTGTATACTCATGTTTACCCTGTATACCCATGTATACATGGGTATCCAGGGTATAAAAGGTATACATGGGTATACAGGGTAAACAAGATATACATGGATATACAGGGTATACAGAGTACACATGGGTATACAGGGTATACAAGGTATACTGGGTATACAGGGTATAGAGGGTATACATGGGTATACAGGGTATACAAGGTATACATGGGTATACAGGGTATACAGGGTAAACAGGGTATACATAGGTATACAGGGAGTACTTGGGTATACAGGTTATATGGGGTATATATTGGTACGGCAGGGTATACAAGGTAAACACGGGTATACAGGGTATACAACGTATACATGGGTATACAGGGTATACAAGGTATACCGAGTATTCAGGGTATACAGGGTATACATGGGAATAAAGGGTATACAAGGTATATATGGGTATACAGGGTATACAAGGTATACCAGGTATACAGGGTATACATGGGAATACGGGGTATACAGGGTATACATGGGTATAAAGGGTATACAAGGTATACATGGGTATACAGGGAATACAGGGTATACATAGGTATACAGGGTATACAAGGTATACATGGGTATACAAGGTATACATTGGTATACAGGGTATACAAGGTATACTGGGTATACATGGGTATACAGGGTATACAAGGTATACTGGGTATACATGGGTATACAGGGTATATAAGGTATACTGGGTATACAGGGTGTACATGGGTATACAGGGTATACATGAGTATGGACATTCTATTACTATTATATGAAACAGTAGGTCTATTTGGCGTAAGCGTAACATGAAAGAATAACCGACGAAGGCAACGCGAGCTGATGTGGTTTGCTTTGATTGAAAGACGATTTATGTGATCTTTTCATGCATCATGCGATGAAGACACGTGGAAAGATTGATAGCAGCGAAAAACCCAAACAACAATTGTACTTTTTCCCAGAGAAGGTCACTTTTTTTCCGAAATTGTTAAGTTTCACAGTAGTTAAAAGTCTGGTAACGAATCGCTAGCCGAGTGTTTTAGATTTATCTTTCGTTCTTGGTTATGCTGATTCTACAAGTTTAAAGTTGAGGTTCTCGGCTTATAGTCGAATAAATACGGTACCACTTGTGGACGTAACAGTACTATTCTCTGTAAGCTATAAGAACCCTTATAAAAACATCTCGGTTTTAGCACTCCGAAGCTTCGGTGAAATAATCTAAGAGTTAGGTGAAATAAAGGCCATATAAGTCTAGCTGCCAGCGCGGACAGGTTGGACACGTTACAAGAGTGGCGAATTTTCGAGTGATGTATAATTGCTTCTTTCTTCCTCCTTCTCTTCCCTTCTTTTTCACATGGCAGCATTGCGTTGCCTTTGAATGACTTAAGTCTAGACTTAAAATAACAGAGATCAAAAGTTAAAAACATTTTTTTGTTTTGCAGGAGAAAAGTGCAAAGAATTCTTATGTTACGTCAGTAGTGTTGTAATTGCCGCTGATCACATCTTTAAACATGACGACAAGTTGCTCTTGTTTTTGGAACTAATTAGTCTGTTTAAAATTGCACTCCAGGATGGTTCAAAAACCTCCGCGCACAGGGTAATGGTTAAATTGTCGTTCTTAACTTCGTGATGTTTCTCTTAATGTCTTTTCCAAGTTTCATCAATGTTTACCCCATTCTGGTTTATCTGCGTGCATAATTTATAAATAGGCTAAGACAAAAATCCTTTAAGAACGTCCCGCATCCCTAACTGGCAAAAGAAACAATCCAAGATAAAAAAAGTTCTACTCACTTCTAGTATTTTTCTTACAGGTGTTGTTAAATTGTTTCACCGTTTTGTCCATGGTATCAGCTGCTTGGTGTACCGTTCCCATACTTCAAGCACTTGCACCCTTCCCTTCAAATCAGCCTACAGTGGGCCAAATAACCGCATGTTGTGAATCACTGGAGAGGTTGCCATGGTTACTGCCCCTAACATTGTCAACTTTGTTGCGTGAAGAGCCCTGGGCACCAGTCGCGGGAAAGGTAAAATAAAAGAATGCTACATTTTTTGCGTTGTATTACGTGTTTAAATTGTTCGTGTGCTTTTGATTTGTTTTGTTGTTTTTGATGAATTTGTTGGTGTATTTTTTGTGCCTTGCTTGTCATCAATTTCCTCGACCCTTTTTAAAGCGATTAAATGGAATTTCATTAAATAGCTTCGTTTATCGTTTGTCTCACGATTTTCACATAGATATTGATTGCCACATTTTGACCGCGTACTGCTGGTCTTCATCAGGCGATAGTGTCAATATCTATGCGACAATCGTGAGACATACAATGAACGAAACCCTTTATACACATTATTCACGATGAACAACGTCTTTCATGGCATGTAGTTATATTGTCAAATGCGATTTCTTAAATAATTTAGGTGCTGGACTGGCTTGTATCATTACTAGATGACCCCACAATTCCAACACATCTCCGAGAGAGCGCACTTGTGGAAGGTGATTTGATTGAATTGAGATATTTTGATGGAATGATAAAATGACTGCCGTGAACTGACTTGCTGACTCTTGTGATATTTTCTAATGTAATTAACTCGCCTCAACTCGAAGATCGATCGATAAAATCAGTTCACCATCACGTTCATTTCCTGATTGCTTCATTGGTTGTTTGATTACTGAGTTGGTTCACTGGAGGTCAAAGGGGCTGAGTATGTAATGAGGATATTCGCTGTTTTAAGCCAAAATGCACAAAATGCTCCCAGTGTAGAGTTATGGAAAAAATATCAAGTAATTTAGTCAGCGAGCACCAACGATAATAATTGGTTTTGTGAGTTTTGCTGGCATAGCATTAAAACTTGAAAAAGTTGGGCCAACTTTTTTTAAAGTTTTAATCAATGTCCATCCTTTCCATACATAGCAACAGACCGCGACAGGAAACAGTTTCAATGCCTAAATATCGTCTTAAATAACAAAAATGAATGATTAGCTTTGGTGTGAAAAAGACACGTTTTAGCCTTTAACAAGATAGCAAAAAGCGTGGCACAGCTCCTTAGCTCATTTGATTATTACATTTCGTTTCAGATACAATCATATCTATGAGGGGAACAGAGACGTTTAAGAAAACAGCTGTGTGGACAGATGTAGTCGGCCGTTTCCATTCCAAATTTATCCATCAAAACGGTGAACAAAAAGACAAATAAAACCACGTTAAGTTACCAAAGCAATGACGCCTTATTTTTGTATGAGGAAAGCTGTAAACTTTATTCAAGTCATTTATACCTGCAGTTTTCGCCTTACTGTAAAACCTTAATAATTATTAAACGCCCTGGCGTTGTTTACTTATACTGAAAAAGAACAATATTCCTTAATCTTTTGTCTGTTTCCTGACATTGACGCAAAGTTCAAGAACAGAAGAATAAATGATTTCTTTTCATATTGGTTTTTGTTTCTCTAGTTGTTGTAGACTCTGAATGTTACTTTTCGTCAGTCTTAAGTACCTGCAATTTCGAAGCTTCTGAAATTCCTCACTTGTGAATTTCACAGTAGGGGGGCTTGGCCAGGGGTATCTGGGTGCTTCATCGTCCATTTCATGGTAAACGTTCAGAAGTTGCCTTAGTTTCATGAGCATTGAGTGAATACCGCTGTCCTGGTCATGAGTTCGATCGAAGGCTGCAGCAATGTGAGAAGTAGAACCCGGTGTTACAAAAAACTGCAAATGAAATTGAGATATGCAGTATTCCTAGGCTAATCTGGAGAATGTAAGTCCCTGTTTCTCATTGTTTTTAAAGCTCGACACTACTGAGTGAACTTGTGTGTATCGGAATATATGTACATCCTTAGCTTCAGTGGGGCAACAGGAGGAAATGCTCAGGAGAGTGTCCGGGTATTTCTTGTTCTAAATGTGGGAACAAAAGCAACTGTACAATAACGTACAAGGTTCCTCATTCTTAAACTGAAACATGGTCTAGTCAGAAATGTGAAAGCTAAGACCCCTGTAAAAAAAGAATCCCAGTCTGTTATATAAGGGCAAAGTGTAGGCATAGTATCAAAAATCCAAGTAAATAAGGAAGGTGGAAAAAAACTACCACTTACTTCCTGGTGGTTACCCTGACGATCAATTCCAGTGACGCGATAGGCAGTTGGGTGATATAGAGGATGTGTAGCATGGTGATAAGTAGCTCGGTGTTTGTTATGTTTGCTGGCTTCATACGGAAGGAAGTGATGGTGGTTAATAATATTATCAGGATGTAGTAAACCGCTGAAGGCAGGAGCTGGATCTTCAGATCCTGAAGAATTGTCAGTTGAATTTCGGCGTGACTTTGACAAAGGTAAATGAGTGGCATGAGGATGTTCCCCAGGGTAATGTCCCTTTTTATGAGCTCTATCCTCTCCATGATGAAATATTCTGTGTAATCTGTTATAAAGGTCGTGCAATTCTTCCTCCTGACGACCCCTATTATGTCGAGATCCATAGTGACCCTTGAGGGGCCGCATGTAATGTGGTTCGTCGTGCTCCCCCACACTATTGCCTCTACTTCGGTCCTCAGTTAAACTGCTCTTTCGACTTCGCCCCTCATCAAGGCTATTTTTCCTATTTGTGCTCTCGCTAAAGGACGTATGCCTACTGCGCATTCCTTGTTCATGTTCGTGGTGTTCATTTAACGCTCCAGTTTTCTCAAAGATGTGTCGCGGTCCGCTAGCACCTATACCTGGTATATAGCTTGTGTACGCACTAAAGCCTAATGTTTTCGAAGGGGTTTTGTTGGGTTCAACTTTCTTATTGTCTTCCTCGAAGCTAGACGCTCTACTTCTTCCCATGTGTTTCTGATGGGCTGAATGGTGTAAGTTTCCATGCTTTGTTTTATGGTAAGGGAGAAGATCGTCAATCTCCAAGCTCCTTCTTCGTTCTCTTTTGGCGGCAAATCTTGTCAATTCTTCATCGTCTGTGTGACTTTTCCTTCTTTTTTTCGAAGCTTCGATATCTTGATGTTCGTTTTCGCGTCGAGGATGCTTAGTAGGATCCACATGACACGTACAAGTGTTTTTATTGTCTCTTCCTTGAGCATGTCGCGGCAAGTTACAAATAACGCATGACATGAATGCTTGTGTTCTATGAATATCTGCACCAACCTCTCGCTGTTTTTGTTGCTGCACTACTGGAGGAAAAGCAGTTTGTTTTCCATCGTTTCCTTGGGACTCTACAGGCGAAAGAGAAATGATAACACTCACATCAGAAGCATCTGTAACAACTTTCACTTGACAAGGAGTTTTTTTTGAAGAGCTCTGATCGCGGATGTCTGATCTAACTTTTACTTGAACTTTTGTGTCATGACTGCTTTCAGTTGGTCTTCGTAGGAGTCGATGCTCGGCGTCGTGTTTCTTGGCGTGAGCGCTAGGGTGCCCGTCATGATGACGTTTTAAATGTCCTGCCGTCTGTTCCTGATCTGGTTGATAATCAAATTGATCTTGTTTAGTTTGCTGTAGCCTTTTCAACGTACTTATCAATTCTTTCTCCTCTTTTCTGTAAACGTGTGACTGCACGTCCTTACACGCTTCAAGCGTGCGAAGCTCTTTATCTAAGTTAAGCTTTCTAGCCTTGTTTGTGACTCGCAGGCCGTAGAAGTTTCCCTCAGAAATGTGACGAACTTGTCTCAGCATTGTATTTTTTACACGATTATCCCATTTTTTATTCCTTGAGGTGTAACACGAGAGGAATTCCCATTATGACGTTACTAGTAGATTTAATTATGCTCTTCCGCGCGCGCGATTGTCATTTTGTGTTAAGGCGGTAAAAAAGCTTGTTGTAAACACTGGACAAGTTACTTTCACGCTGACATATCTCTTCGAGTGTTGTATTCATATGCATCTAATGATGGATTCGTTATGAATATACGATGTGGTCAAATTCTGAGACGGGGAAAGGAAAATAGAAGACCTAAAAAGCGGGTTCGACGATCATCATGTATAGTTATTTGAATCATCGTTATGTACAAGAATTAAATAAAACGCAAACGAACGCGACATTCATAACTTTGACTTCTTACTCCAAAGCGGAAATATTTTCATTTGTGGCAAATGCAAGCCAGATCGGAACTGATTCCAGTTCCAGCTTCTTCTTTCAATCTAATAACGTCATTATGACCTCACTTTCATTGTTGAAAGTAAACAATGTCTTAGCCCACTTCTTCAATTTTTTATCCAGTGAGTGTGACGTTCCTGTTAAGTGTTTTTTCTAACTATTTTAGATGAAAGATTAACAAAATATGGGTTCAGCTAATTAACAAAAAAAATAAGACGTCATTCCGTCAACCAAAGTACACGCTGATGAAGGAAGAGAGTGAACTCTGGGAAAGAGGTTGATAAGCATATCATTGAATTTGGTGGCCTACCTATCTAAGCAGTTTTAAAGCTGTTATAGTAAGCGGCTCTCTCTAGAGTTCCCGGTAGGACGCCCTAAAACACCAGTCTGAATAGGTTTAGAGTTAAGGCCAAAGCTTCCATCACTGACCAATCAAGGTCAGGCTGTTTACATGTACGGCCTAAATGTGACTTTTCTCCGGGTTTTCTTTAAGGATCGAATGAGGATTAAAGTAATTTTTAAAAAGACTTCACCATTCAAAGTTAATCATCTTTTCAGCTGCCTTGTTGTCGTCATTTCATTTATCACTTTCTTTAGACTGTTACTTACAGGCGACACAAGTTTACTGGCTTCCGAACAGAGAAAAAAGTTATTAGCATCGTAAACTAGGTATTCGACAACAAAACTGATTTTTCAGTGTTTATAAATAATATATGACCTCATCGAAAACTTGGCGTGTAAAAGAAGTTACGTTTCCACCTTAGCAAACGAGTAAAATTTTTACATGTTTGGGGAAATTGGCTCAAGTTGTAAAATAAAATGTAGAAAAATTGAACTCTTTCACTGTGATTAGGCATGCCGCAGTTGTAACAATCTTAAGTAGGCTCCTTTGTAACTGAAGAGTCGGAAAAAAAAGCAATTTATGCAAATACTCCACTACAGACACTTGAGAACGTTTCTATTGTGAAAATCGTTCAACAGATCAAGGTAAAATCTCCGCTCTTTGTCTAGGTTGGCAAGCACCATATGAATAACCGGAGCCAAGGAGGTAGGAATAATTTCTCTTTAGAATATTCAAAATTTAAAGATAAATATATTTTTTCAACTGTTGGTGAGTGAAAAGGCGAAACAATTTTTACTTCAGGTTTTCCCAGCAAACTGTCTTATTCTCTGTTACGCTTTTTAGTCATTTTTCGCCTAAACCCGGGAGGCAAAAGAGTAATAAATAAAAGAAAGAAAATCGAAAGATCGAACTCTTTCAACCTTTCAGTTTATTGGTTGCTTTATAGCGCACTTAAGCGGCGTCTTTTGCTGTGGTTCACTATATGTTTAGGTAATACCGTAACATCAAAGCGTTAAAACTCAAAATTAAGCTTTGTTTACTCCTCCTTTTTATCACTGATAGAAAATGTTCGTCGGCTAATATGAGAGCATATTTTCTCTTCACATATTTTCTGGAATACATCTTTTAAAATCCAAATACGCCCTTTCTCATTTGCTTTCTTTTGGTTTCTAGAAGCACAATATAATTCAATTTCCCTCATTTTCATGAGGACGCTCCTGCTTACCACACAATATTGAAAGAAACACAAGTAAAAATGAAAGAGAAAAAAAAAGGAGATCGCACAATGAAAGGTTTTGATTTATGATCAGGCACGATACAGTATTGCGGGCCTATATGAACACTTCCGCAGTCTCGAAGATATTTGAGTAGTAAACGAAAACGATAAAAAGAATTCTAAGTAAACTGTGTTTGCACAGCAGAGTAAAATAGCAATAGTATTCAGTATTAGGAGAACCGACTGTGGTTTAAGAATTAAGAAAAGAATTTTCTTGTGGTCTAAAAGGTGTCATTTTAATAGATGCTTTCTTCCCATCGTTGTCTTGGTTGATAGTTTGTTAAACAAGGGTCTCCTTTTCGTTAATTTACGCCAACCAAGGGTTCTTTTTCTTTTTAATGGAGTATATAAATACCGAGTTTATTATAGTATCAATACACGGCGCACACGGAAGGCACGGACTAGATACGTCAATCGAAGTGGGAAATCTTTTAAGGTAAGTACTCGCTCGCTCAAAGACACACATCTAGAAATGCGGAACCTAAAAAAGTCAAGAGCAAGTTAATATGTGCTTTTGTAAAGTCGAAGTAATTTTTTTACTGCCTTTACTGAGACAAAAAAAGGGAAAGCACTCCACTAATGCTGAATTAGAATAGCGAGGAAGTTCAACTGGCCGCAACGACTTAGTTTCTTATCATGCCTCTGTTTCTTACTCATTCTCAAATTTCAATAGAAAAGACCCTCGGGTTGCTCAAAAGATGGTTAACCGCTAAGTTGAACCAAAACTTAGGCCAATTCTAAACCATTAAAAAAATGTTCTCATACGCTAAGTTGAACCAAAACTTAGGCCAATTCTAAACCATTAAAAAAATTTTCTCATACGAACAATATGCGATTGGAGTCTATAAAGTACCGTCGAACCTTAATTCAGAGACCCAGTTACGGTAAGTTAAAATGCCAGTCTCAAACAATTCATGTAAAAATTTAATCTCAGTCTTGGGTTTAAACGTTAGTGTTCGGAGTTCGTTCAGTGGCATTCCAGCAACTGGGTCTAATAAACATTAAAAAATATGCATTCTTTTGTTGCAAGGTACTTCCATTATTTCCCAGCCGAAAGGTATACATACACTTTACAGTTAGTGAAGAGATAACATTAACCCCGATATTTAAAAGCTAGCACACGTTTAGATAGCTGCTGCTGTCTAAGGAGACTTTTATCAACGGTAGGAAAATGGGGTGCCGTACAAACGAAAAAACTGAGAGTTGACTAAAAACTAGACAGTAGAAATAATTAATGAAACAAAATTGTAAATCATCTCAGTCTGTAAATGGGATCCTGATCATGATATAGTATGCTTTCCATGTGGGCTTTTTCATTATAATAATTATAGATAGAAAAAGACCTCAAAAATATTACGATAATACGAGAAACAAAATCCTCTTTGTCGTTTTTTCTTTTTCTGGGCGATGTCTTCATTCAGTAAGATGTATCACTAAGTTTTGTTTCTTATAATTATCGGTGCAAAGTTCGTCCTTTACTTGTGGAGTGTAACACCTCTTTGCACAGGAAGAGTTGAGAACAGATTGGTGATGCCTTTCTTTTATCCTTTTTATTAAAATGAAGCATAATTTTGTATAAAAAATTCTAGCTCGGTTAATGCAATTGTTACTGACGCAATGAAATCGCAGCTTTATTTTAGAGTAAAAAATTTAGGCTTTTGTTATCTCTATTTTATTATAAAGTCAAATACAACAAAACCACAGAAGTAAATTTTTAGAATTAAGAAATAAAAAAACGTGGGGCATACAATCAGGTGAAAAAGACGATCTTGGGTATGGTATGCCAACAAACCTCTCTCTGAATTTTGATTTTATTTTTTTGTCGAAGTGGTTGATTATAGATTTATTTTTGGGGTGTGAACTATTTGACACGAGTCTCAGTTTAAAACATAACCCAACTCGAACAGGGTTTACCTCCAACATTTTCGTCAACTGAAAGCAAAGTCAGATTTAATAACCTTCCTATACCAAATTGATGTTTCGATTGAGTCGAGTTAAAATCAGTGCGCGAGTTTCCATATTCTTTGAATTTTGAAGAGTAGGCCAAGCCCAGTGACATTACAAAGAATTATACCTGTATATGCAGTGAAAAATAGGTCAGCAAATCGAATTATAGACGTGCGTGTAGGAAGAAGTAAGAGAGGGAGCTGAAATTTAAGGCAGCGAAACATTTTTAGCGCAATTCTACTGCTGTTTGAGAGTAGTAATCTTTTACAGGGGGGTAAATTACGATGGCAAAGATCGTCTTGTAAACCCACTCCCTTCCCAGGGACAAATACGTTAAACCAAACATGTTTTGGCAATAACCAGAAGTCATTCAGGCATTTTGTTGCTGAAAGAAGCTGGTGGGTGTAATCTTGACCACAGAAACCAAGTAATAAAGTTTGTCAAGCTCGTAAAAAGGTGTCGGGGTAAGCTGACGAATTTCTGCGGCGACAGCTGCTTTTCAAGACAAAAAAAAATAAAACGAAAATCCAAATTGGCAGGCCGAAATTTTCAATAATTAAAACAAAAATGGTATTCGATTGAAAACGTAAATGCATATATCACTAACGTCGTTTTAGAATGCTGGAATTGCTTGCTGACATATTTGTATCTATTAGCGGTCAACATATTAAAATTAAGAATTTCTCTTTGTGACGGACTGAAATACAATTAAAATATCAAAAGGTAATATCCTAAACTGTAGTATAAAGAGATAATTGTATTGATATGAAAGTGAAAAGCACGAAAGTTTCAGGTGAAAGCAAATATAGAAAGCAGGTTCCTATCTTTGGTGAAACTATTCGGCCTGCACATTTTTTAAACTGCGGGGGTTTGTTCCTGAACGATAAAAAGCCCTACGATAGTTTCTTTTGCTGACGAATTAAGGTACTAATTGGCGTGTTTTGAGATTTTACAAGCTTGTAATTGTCTATACTTCTGTCGATTAAGTTGTGACCGCCATACTCTTCTTTTCACCAATCAACGCTTACCATAACCACCAAAAAGTGAAAACTCGTTAAAAGAAGACCTTACTTATGTGGACTGGTGTTAAATTTATCTGATATACGACGGGGCACCTATCAGATTCCTTAGAAAAGAAGTGACAGTGTTTGGCGATATGTAATCGAAATAGACGCCTTCAAAAGCGAGCGAACATTCAACGCTATTCAGTAAACTGTGTACAAAAGGAACTAGCACGATTGTACAAGGTGAGCCTGACAAAGGTTAATTTTACTGGCCTAAACTAGTCCAATTAACATATAAGATCGCGTTCTGTGCCATCATATCTTTGAAGAAAATAATCATGTTCTTCTTTTTTTTATATAAATTATTTCAACCTGTATATAGCCACATATCTTACAAAAAAGTGGAAATCTTCGATTTCTTTCTTCACGCATTTACCGTTAATAGTTGGACCAAGGTTCCTGAAATTGGGCTTTCCTACAGCCCCTGAATACGTGAATGGTCCAAAGTGTGATGAAACAAAACTGATCTTCTTGGTCACTGGATGTTTTCAAAGACTGCCACTTTATTTTCGTGATCCTTTTTGTGATAGCTTGGTTTATTGGTAAATTGTGGATCCCTCACCCCCTCCTCTACCAAAAGAAAAAGAAGTAACTTCCATTCAGAGTCAGATAAGTTTCAGTTTTGTTACATTAAAGGAACAGGAGTAAATGTTCATTGTTAAATTTTGTTTATGTTACATTATTTTTTTAATACAGTACGTAAGTAGATTTTCTGGTATCATCATATGCATTTAAAAGCTTCAAGGATTTGAAAAAACACGTTTTCTCACCATGTTTGCGTTCAGTTTCTTGTTCGCTTTTTTGTCGACTTTTGTTCAAACTAATATTCTTTACCTTTACAGCTTGTCAACAAAATGTCTACTTGTGGTTTGCTAATTATCATTTTCTTTTTGATTCCATTTTTTTTTTTTAATAATCCGGTTGGTGCTAAGTGGATTGGTGCAAACTAGTCACACTTTCAAGTTTTCAGACATAACAATTTCTGGCTGCAAAGGAAAACTTCCACTTCACACTTGCCGCCGGTTAATTGTTGAGAACTAAAGGAATACTCAAACAAGTCTCATATGCATGCTGTAGTTTACCGTCAAATAAAATGAATCAGAATTTTAGTATAAAGACATCATCCCTAGAGAGCATCGCACTTGTACCCTGCTTTTGATGTAAGAATTAAGGAGCATAAAGACGCTGATCATTTTAAAAGCAGAAGACATGTATTTTAAAAATTCTTGCAACTATTCCTTTTCGAAAAATTACTGTTTTGACAATACCACCATAAAACAATCTTTCAAATAAAATAAACGGCAACGGCTTTAAAACCTATTGTCAATTCAGAATGACTATATTTTTTTGATTAAGAGATCTTTAGTCCGTAATTAGGATTGAAAAAAGTATAGTTGGCTTTTATCAGAAGGCAATGCGCATGTTTTCAGAAAGCACTGCGTAGGGAAAAAAGTTCGCTTTTTTCAACGGTATTTATTATTCAATAGTAAGATCAGTACTAGTACTGAATATCGTTTTAAAAAAAGATTTCACCGACTGAATTAAAATGCAACAATAAGAAGTAAACATTTTTTGGAAAATTCGTGGTTTGCCGTTTTGGCAAATAGTGCTCAAAATGCTGTGGTGTTGTCGGTCACATCCAAACTTTTGCAAAGAATCGTGCTGATGAAACACAGTTGTTTGGGTGAGTTGCAACATGTTTAAAGAAGAAATCACTATCCCGCTGCGTAGCATACATAAATCGAATATGAATTGAGTAATATTTTGTGAGGAAATTATTTTTTCTGACGCAATGAGTGAAAAGACTCAATGATCGTTTGTCACTGAAGCGCGATGCATTACTGTTATTCATCACTTTCACAAAGTTCAGGATCAAGGTTTGTGTGACGTGTCCCCTCGCAATCTCTGCTCCAAACAGCGACAATTTTTGGCAACTTTTTTTTCCCTTAACTGGCTCTCACAAGGCTGAGAAGCGCACGGGAAATTATGTTTTGCTAGGAACTGTTCCTTTAAAAACCAAATTTAGCAGTTACACTTTCAATTCATTGGCCTACCATTTCAGTTGCAATTACTCACTCTAACAGCTCCACGAAGCAAACAGAACACTAAGCGAATCACTCGTCCAGGAGAATTTGAACGCTTGATTAGTGGTTATAGACCAAGTTGTACATATACTTTTATTTCGGATAAAAGTACTAGAAAAGTTGCAAAGTCGTCTGAATTGATACGGCTTGCTTGCGATTTCGTGCGAATAGCGCATCCAAGGCATTACAACCAATGGACAGTCTGGCCTACCAGAATAAATATTAATGGTAGGGTTTACGTCAAATGTTGTTGTAGGGCTTACATCAAATATTATTGTAAAAAGTCTGGTGAAGAAACGTTTAGTGACTGCATAATTGAAATGTCCCATCGTTTCTTTTCCCTCAGAAAAATGACTTGGATACTTCTCAGCAGTATAGCAATCCTGGTTCTTTCACAACAAGCCACATGCAAGCCTCTGAGCAGACAAAGAAGGGCCTGGGAATCTGACTGTCCCCCGGGGGTCTGGGGATGTAAACGCGCCTTATTGGCAATCAAACAGAGAGTTGACCACGATTGCCCTCCTGGGGTCTGGGGTTGCAAGAAAGATGTGATTATAGACCAGGACGACAATTGTCCTCCAGGGGTATGGGGCTGTAAACGTGGAATGAAAGCTACGAATAACGACTGTCCACCAGGAGTCTGGGGTTGCAAAAGAGGGCTTTTTGGTTCTGTAAAAAATTGGTACACGTCTTCCCAAAAAGGTCAAGGCAGAAGCAAACGTTCAGTTGAAGATACAAAAGAAGATTGTCCCCCTGGAGTGTGGGGGTGCAAACGGGAAAACAAGAAAGAAGAGAAAGGGGAAGAAGGATGTCCGCCAGGAGTCTGGGGCTGTAAACGAGAAACGGAAACGAAAAAAGCCGAAGATGACTGTCCACCAGGAGTCTGGGGCTGCAAACGAGAAACGGAAACGACAAAGACCGAAGATGATTGTCCACCGGGGGTCTGGGGCTGCAAACGGGAAACGGAAGCAACAAAGACCAAAGATGATTGTCCACCAGGGGTCTGGGGCTGCAAACGAGAAAAAGTACCAGAAATGAAAGATAAAAAAGCTGACATAACTTCTAATGACTGCCCGCCTGGTGTCTGGGGCTGTAAACGAGAGAATTGATGAAAACTGTGTTACAAAATAAAACCAATTAATTTTCCCCGTCTTAAGAGGTTGAAACATGGAAATGTGAATGTCAACACAGATGGAATTGTCCGTTAGATAATCAGATGAACTGTATTACTAAAAATCTAGGTTAGTCACGCCATGTGTACAGTACATATTTTTCAGTTATTAAAAATTAAGATTAACTTCATAAAGTCTACGAGGCCTATCAATAAAAATATGTTCCAAGTCCGTAATGTGATCTACAAGTTGAGAGTTGTCTGAGTGCTTTCCGTCCATGGTTTTTTGTCATCAACATCTAGTTAGGTTAAAGTCGTACGAAAGTCTTACCAGTTTTACTATTGACAGCGGAAGTCAAAATTAAAAAAACCCCAAACTTCTTAACAGTGCTAATGCAATTTAAGAGCAAACTGCGGAATCTTAAAACATACACTGTCACAATTTACTAATACAATCCTCATCACATAATGCAAACAATTTGACCGGTTGCAACACAAACCATCAAACGCATTTATTACCCAAAAGGGTATTGTTTATTGGTAAAAACGTCGTTTGAACAGTACAAACAGGATATCAAGTACGCACGTGAAAGAAAATTGCACAAAGGCATTCATAGCCCTTAGAGAATGATCAGTGGCATATTTGTCAGCCCATCTTTAAACAAGACAACAAAGATGTAAAGAATTGTAAAAAGTAACTATGAAATAACCACATCTTACAATGAGCCGAACGGTTGTAAGGCGCCGTGCGGCGGGCACCTGCTGGTCCTAGCTAGTCATAGTCCTGCGCATTAGAGTTCACAAGATAAAACTTCGACACCAAATTTTCCACGTTCCCCGTGTTCAACAAAATAAAAGATTTTTAATCTGTTGTGTTACAATACTTACACCGTGGTGCCTAAACAATTTCCAATACAAGTCAACTGTAATGACATAAATATCCATATATATTACTCTGTGATTATTATATGTTTGTCAAAAATATGCCATTAAAATCACCAATAAATTTTCGTGAATCATTCACCCCTGTAGTCTCATACTATTTTAAAACTCATGATTGCATGGAATATTTGAAAATGCAAAAGCTAAACAATCTATATTTGAACTATCTATATTTTTAGTGTGTTAGATGCCCTAAGCTTTACTGTATTGTGTAGGATATTATTCGAATGCTACACCTAACCAATAAAATGAAATGATGAATCCATTTCCGCGTAAACTAAGCTTTTACCCAAAGCTATGAGGATCGGTAAAAAGACCTTGATTTACAACCACTCAGGTACTAGCATTCGATTCAGCTTTCAGATCGAAAAAAGCCTGGATAGGTTTTTTAATAAGGATAGTTGTCTAGAGTCATGGTCCAGACGTTTGTGCGATAAGTGACAAAAAGTCCGCTTCCACCAAGGAAGGCTTTATTGTTCCAAAACTATGATCAGAAGATACTTAACTACACTAGCTGACGGAGCTCACTGAAGATCGATCATCTTCTCTTCCTACAAGTCTCTTGAGCCGCTCAAGATGATGGTACGCCCTGCCGGACAGAAAGGAAAACATATGCTCCATTAATAGATGCCGGGGAAAGGAAATTCAATTAGAACCTCCAAGCTGTTATGTATGGTAAAGCTAACTCACATTTTATTACAATAAGGGAATATAAGTCACAAAAATTTCTCTGCATATGGATGCACGAATACGTCTTCGTTCACAAAAATTCATGTATGAGCGTTTTCATAACATGGCCACTATAATTACTATAACGGTAAACTGACATTCAAGAACTGTATTTGTACCTTTGCAAAGATACTTCTCCACGAAAAATGTCGGAATCCTTTTCACTTTGGTTATCTGCGCAAATGGAGATAAAAATTAAAGGATAGACTATCTTAGTAAGACCTGATTGCTGAATGACATGCTATATAAACCCTTTTACTTAAGATTTATGTGCCTTGATACAAGCTTCTTATACATGACCAGCTGTAGTGTACTCAGGAAATAAACCCAAAGCAAATCTTTGAAGCAACACGCAACACTCTTCTAGGCGTTGAAGGTTAAGGTATTCGCAAAAACTCCCAGATCACGAGTTAGGAAGCACTTCTTTCAAATCCTACCTGACTCTGAAAAGTCTTTTGCTTCTCTAGTCTTGAAATCCGTATTCTTAAATGGAAACACAATAAAAGATTATTGTTAGCAGTTCACGCAAGCGCACACTGGATCACAACCCTATCTAGTATACTGTAATGGCGAGACGCACGTATTTCAACTGATTAATGTATGATACTTACCATATAAAACTGACCGTTGTCCAATGTTTCATGATGTGCCATATCCTGCATAGTAAACAACATCTGCTTCAAAGCTTCCACGGGGCCTGGGGCGGCTTCTTTTCCACTGAGTCTTGCAGAAGGCATGTTATCATCTGCTTTCTAAATATAGAAACAACAAACAAATGCCACCATGCAATGTGTACTCAAGTTACTCCTCGGACACGACTGGATTTCATATGCACTTGACATTAAAATTACTCTTTTTTCGAATCTCCCGTAACACAATCTGTTTGCCCCCCTATGTATGTATGTATGTATGTATGTATGTAAATCTTTATTTAAACACGGGAAATCATCAGTTAAGCTTAAGTTAAAAACTAAAACTAATTACCACTGCTTTTCATGATTGCCGTGTGGGAATCCGATATATCAGCTACCTTCTTGATATTTCGCTTAAAATGCTCCACGTATGCAGCATTTTTAAAGTTTTTGGGCAAATTATTCCATAACATGGCCCCGCTGTAAGAGAAGCTTCGTTTCAAATAATTGGTGCTTGGTTTGGACAGGGTCAGCCTTCCCTCAGAGTTTCTTAAGTTGTAAGCAGAGTGACGCTGAGAGATAGCAAGGTCATTCATGGTTTTATACATCATTAAGGCTTTTTGTTTCTTTCGTCGAAGAGATAGCCTCTCCCAGCTGAGGGTGGAGAGAAGGTGGTTTGAGCTCGCATCAAAGGGTGATTTGGTAATAACTCTGGCTGCACGATTCTGTAATTTTTGGAGCTTATCACTCAAGTAACCACAACAGTCCCAGACGGGGCTGCAGTAATCAAAATGAGGCATAATTAATACGTTATAAATTTGAATTGCAGTTTCTTTGGATATAAAGGGCCGCACACGTTTTAGGGCGTACACGTTTTTTTGCATAAACGCTCCCATGCCCATTAATTGAAAACAATACATGTAACTTAGTATAATAATGGCAATAACAATATCAAAGTGTATTATGAGGATTCAAAAATAGACCGCAAAAGATCAGTTTTTAGATGATTCAGACCGCTGAACGAAGAGACCGAACACACAGTCTTTCCACACAAATAGCAGCGACAACTTTTTACAACTCAGTGCACCTTCTAATTTTAAGCGTCGGTTCGTCGCGTGTGAAGATCGACGTTTGTCCTGGATGCAATCTTCAGACGTTCTATCCGTCAGACGGATGGAACGTGTTGGACACCGATCCAAACTCATTCGCCAAACCCTATACAGCAGCAATTCAGATTCAAGGACACGCTATAGTTAAAACAAAACATTAACGCAGTTTCCTCGACGTAGATTTCGAAGCTGTCAGCTCTTGACTTCTGAGCTACTTTTGATGTTCTCCCTCTCAGATTACTCGAAAGACTAACATCACGATATTCAGAGACCTTAGAGGCATTAATAAAATAATGAATGCAAACTTACAGTCAGCTTTGGATCATCGCTGTCAACACTTAAACAGTCTTCCAGAAAGGATGATATGACACCAGACTTAGGACTTGTAAAGCGCCTTTTAATGAAGCTGTCAGGCGCTTTTGTATCGTCATCTCTGTACAGTAACCAAAATACATTTCGTATCAAGGACTGCAATTTTTTTACTCTTAACAACTCAGAAATGAGTTTGGAATTAAGATTCTGCCATTTCGTTTGCCCTCGAGAAAAATACCATTGTAACATACAAAATCATAAAGGGTTCAAAGAAGATATCAAAAGGTGGTTTTACCGATACATGTGTATCAGCACGGTGGCACGAAAAGAATGAATGGAGACTCAAGGTGAGATCGTACATTCGATTGATGATTTGACTTTGTGAGAGCCAAAAATAAGTCAGGCAAATTGTGAGTTTATTTGAAAAAAAAAAAACAGGTCGCAAGAGTCAAATTTGACGTACAAATGTAATAACGGACAAATTCGCAGAACAACAGCAGCACAAATTGACTTGTAAAGCTATTATCAAGTAATATGAATGGAGGTTTTCAACCTTGGAAATAACTAGAGTTGGCCACTTAAGAGACTGGTCACACGAAGAGCTTCAACTATGTTGAAAGTAATCGCAAGAAGAATTTAATATGGTATCTAAAAATATGGCAGTAGACAATTAAGTCACCGCCAGCCTAGCTTCCACTCAAATGCTAGGTTGCATAGCGTACATTTGTAAATAGACCTCTTTAGCTTGTATGTTTTGTTTTCCCAATACAGGTCATGTGATAATACTCTAGAGAACTGTTTCTTTCAAATTTCGTTTTATTCAAGTGCATATGCACGCATAATTTATGAAAAGACAAGGGTCAAATTCCACTTGTTTGTTTTGTTTTCCCAGTAGAGGTCCCAGCTAAAGAGGTCTATTGGCCTATTTTTGTACTCTGCATTAACGATAACACACTTACAGTTTCCACAGCTGAAATCTTTCCGGAAGTTTCTCTCGAACTGCAGCGTGAGGATTTGTCGACGCAAACGCGCTAGTGGGAGAAATCTGATCACTATTATGTTGTACCTCTGTAACATGACGTGAGCTCGGTTGACGCTCTCTTGCCACATCCAGTTCAATCTCTGTTTCAGTTTCGGAGTCAACTAATGTTTCACTATCTGACACTGTAGTTAACGACGGACTGGCATGAAAAACAGGCATAGGTGGACGGGTAATGAGGCTTTCGGTGTCAACCGTGTTCAAGCTAATGACGTCATCGTCAAGACTGCGTCGAGAATGCCTTGAGGGCCTAGTTGCTGAGGTTATGACGGCTACCCGCCGTAAATCTGCCGGAACAGTTTTACTTCTTTTATGAGTTAGGTTCCTCACTCTGCTCCTCGGGACAGTAGAAGGTTTGCTGTACCTTGCATGTGGAGCAGATTTAGCAAGTTTTTCATCTCTTGATTGCCGGTAACTTGAGCTAGCGAATACAGTTTTTGGAGGTCTGAATTTGAAGTTATCTGCTGTACTAGCATACCTGCCCTCAAAAGTAGTTCTTGCTGCTGAAAATGCGTCTTTTTTATGGTTCCGACGACCAGCTTGCAGAGCAGCACTACTTGAACCCTCTAACACTGCAGGCGTTGAGTGGTACTGGGGTCGCTTTACTTTAGAATGTGTCACTTCACCGGGATTTGCTTGTGACCTAGAACTCTGAATCATACTTTTCCATGGATACATTGTACTGGGATCTCTATAAATCTTCTCCATTTTAATTCCTGTAGGTGATTTGCGCATGACTCTATCGGTGTCTTCAGATTCTAAGTCACTGTCATCCTTACGACTCGGTATGTTTATCTTCATCGGTTTGTTGGACCGCGATGGTGATTTATCACCACTAAATTTTTCATATAGTTGTCTAGTTGCAGATAGTGGTGATCCCTCCTCCTGTTTGGGGTTGAATGGCCGTGAATACCTGATAACAGCAGGAGGTGAAATGTACCTCTGTGAGCCGGTTTCATCCACTGCCCTTCTGTATCTATCACTCTGTGGTGGTAAGCTGTATCTTATGGCCTGTGGTGAAATGCTATTCCATGCAGCTACTTCTGATGCTCCATATCTATCACTCTGTGGTGGTAGGCTGTATCTTGCGGGTAGCTCAGTAAAAGGACTTCTTTCAGGGGAGAAATCCCTCAATTTATGGCGTACAGGAGTACTTTCCTTGGTTTCGGCTCTCGCGCGGAATGGTTCCCCATTCCTTCCTGACGTTTTCGTGGGAGAAAAGGTTTGACTTTTTGACCTTCTTTGTGGAACTAAAGAATGTTCTGTGGACTTCTCCTTACCTGAGCTCTTTCTGAGCTTTTTAGTTGACTCTTTTTTCAGCCGTGCCACTCTTTTGTCTTTGTATAAAGAGTTATGGAATTCACCTCCCATGTTCACTGGATTAGGTCCATATACAGACTGGGATACTAGCACGTCCGTGTCTATGCTTGCCGCATCATTCCAATCAACGCCGTTCATCCTTGTCTCCGCCATCTCTATAGTGGAAGGTTCCTGGACCCTTTTTGATGGGTGGCGACCTCCACCACGTAGATCAGAGATCTTAAGCGCTGGAGTGGATCTGGAAGCAGGGCTCGGTATAAACGGTTTTTTTCCTATTTCAGTCTCTGAAGAAGATGAATGGCTGCTCGAGCCGGAGAACTTCTTATCAAGACTGCAAAAGAACAATAAAATTGAATCACATTTCAAGTACAGACCAGGATGGTGGGATTGAAGCCGAACCCCATTGGGCACTCTCAACCCGCATCCGGCAAACTTGACGTTACAAATAATAATTCGGTATGTAGCTGTAACTGACCACGACAGCAACCTTCTTACATGAAAAACTTTCTTCATCAATTAAAAATCATGAACCACGTCTCAGAAAAAAAAATTGTGGCTAAATACGTGTGCGATCGCTTCCGCGAAAGAGAAAGACGCGTTAAATATAACCTCGTCTAGTTGTATAAATTCTACAAATGTACACCTCTGTAATTATTGCACTAAAATCTTTGTTATTGTTGTAAACACATGTGTCTGTAGGCGCTCTGTTGATAATAAAGCAGCTATCCTATCCTATCCTATCCTACAGTTAGCTACTGACATGATCCTGTGCTAATTATTAGATACATGGATGGAAACACACTTTAATCAGTAGTAACTCCCCTAAGACTTTTCAGTCAGTATCTACAAAACAAAAACTAACGAATAAAGGAAATATATTACATTAAAATTATTGTTTAATAGATTAAATAATTAAATCAAAACTGATACTAGGTACAATGGAACCACTAGACAAAAACACAGAACTTCTTGACAGTTCCAGAAGATGGGTCGAACCTATAAGAAATGGTTCAGGACTGTGGGTCGAGCCCATAAGACTTAACGGTAGTACTGCGCTTGCTCTTGTGACTGGTCTGGGCTTTGGTGGAGATTTAAATGATGCCATGTGAGAGTATACCCCTGATAAAGAAAAGTATACATTTGTACCGTGGAGCAAGAATCGCCCATAATTTTCATTTTAAAAAATTGATGTTTTGAGTGCTCAGCCTATGTTAGAGCAAATTCGTCACTGGATTCACTCTCATGAAGGGCTATTGCTCATAATGTCAGCTTCTTAATTCCTCTATGGTGGCCAATCTGAATGTGTCGGCTGCTTTGCTCAGAGAAGTCGCTTACTTTTTTCACGAAAGAAGAACGAAGTATACAGTTTTAATAATGTCAGAAACAAATATCTCAATGAAAATGTAATTATGATGTGTTTTCTAATTCAAAAAGAACCACTGGGTTTATGGTAAGCATTAGTTGGTTATGTGAACGCTGTATTTCAGTCATTTTTTTTACGCATTTCTAGTTTGTTCACGCGCAAATGTACGTAATAGACCATTTTACAGTTATGGGCTTGGTACCCTAGCCTCTGAGTGAAAGTGAGGCTGAGGTTGAACTGTTTTGATACAAACCTCATTTCTTTCCTTATGAAAATTTTACTAAAAAAAATAATCGTTAGCATAAGAACAACATGATTTACAAAATAAAGGTGGAAGGGTTGTATTAAAACAAGGTCAACTTTGGCCTTGTTTGCACCCATAACAGTACTGTAAATTGGACTTTCAAATTATAGTTACATGTTTGTGAATTACTTAAATGAAAATTTGAAATTTTCAAACTGTCATGAAATACTTAAGCATTACAGGGCCCAAATCTCCTCTTAATAACAGGCACTTTGAGACCTAAATGTGTAAGGGAAAGATTAAACATTAGTTTTAAAAATTTCAGAATTTACAAGGAGTCATATGGAAAACCACTCAAACGTGACTGGGTGGCAAGAGTTGTTTTTCTGATACAAATCCTTCTAATTTTCAGCAGCCGTTGCAATCGCTACTTTTGAGATACACAGCTGAATATTTACAGGTTACCTAATTTTAATATGTTCTTTCAGCTAGTGCTAACAAAACATTTCAAAAGCATACTGTTTTCGTGTTTACTGAAAGTTGATCACTTGATCAACTAATGCAAAAGGTCTATTAAGGTGGCTCGACTGGATTTTTTGGGGTTGATACCTCCCAAGTTTGAGCATTAACTACGTCGGCATGAGTAAAGATATGGAAAAAAGGTTACCACAACTGTATTATATAAAGATGAAAATTTCTTATGATCTGGGTTTTATTGCAATCGGAGTCGCCATGGCAACGTAATGACGCCATTACGTTTTTCATTTATTGTTGTGTTTCTCTGTACCAGGAGTTTTTTGAAGAAATCGCTTAAGGGAGTATGTACCTGCCATAATTGCCTCCATTGTGGCAAAGTTTGAAGAAATTCTATGAGAGCGTTTTCGAGATATTTCGAAATGCAGTTTTAAGAATCATCAAGGCAGTGAAATAGCATGCTAGCCGCTCAATTCGCTAATATTTTAAGAAAATGATAAGCTTTGGGAATGCGGCTTCATCTCATAGTGGTTTGATTCCATTGCAAACTGCATACAAAAAAAAAGAGGGGAATTGCTCTGGGCGATCGCGAGTAAGAAGAATTTTATTAACTTGCATTCAGCTGCTTTTGATACAGTTTTTGGAGGTAATTTGGTCAATGCCTAAAAATTTCGCATTTTTCCAAAAACCGCTCGATAAATTTTTTTATAAATTTGACAATCCCGAGATCAATCGTCAAGAAATATTCCCTGCAAGTTTCAAGAACATTGAAAACAGGGAAGGCTTTTAAATAGGGACTCAAACATAACCAATTTTGCCCCCAGATTTTGTGTTTACAAGTGAGCGTCCTCATTATTCACTGGCATTGTTTTCAAGTTTCATATGCACGTGCACAACTAGCCAAAGATATAAATTTGCATCAAAAAGAACTCTTGATTACTTTCCGAAGAAATATCCGGTATATGCTAATAATTGGCTTGTCGTCACAGATAGCAGTGAGAGCTGAAACGGTGAACGTCACGGCTCATTGTGTAGGATGCAATACTTAATTATCTTACTTGGGTTAAAACATCACAGAAACTGTCACAAAGAGTTGCTCTGATGTTATAATGTATCACTAACCTCTTTATCCGGTAATTAGCATATTCCGGAGATTTAACCGAGGGTCCTTTTTGATGCAAATTCTATCTTTTTGCTAAATGTGCACGTGTATATGAAACTTGAAAATAATGCCAGTGAATAATGAGGACGCTCGCTTGTAAACACAAAATCTGGGGGGAAAATTGGCTACATTTGAGGCCCTATTTAAAAGCCTTCCCTGTTTTCAATGTTCTTAAAACTCGCAGGGAATATTTCTTGACGATTGATCTCGGGATTGTCGAATTTATAAAAAAATTTATTGAGCGGTTTTTGGAAAAATGCGAAATTTTTAGGCATGGGACAAATTACCTCCAAAAACTGTATCAAAAGCAGCTGAATGCAAGTTAATAAAATTCCTCTTACTCGCGATCACCCAGAGCAATTCCCCCTCTTTTTTTGTATGCACTTTAAAAGGAATCAAACCACAATGAGATGAAGCCGCGTTCCCAAAGCTTATCATTTTCTTAAAATATTAGCAAATTGTGTGGCTAGCATGCTATTTCACTGTTTTTATGATTCTTAAAACTGCATTTCGAAATATCTCGAAAACGCTCTCATAGAATTTCTTCAAACTTTGCCACAATGGAGGCAATTATGGCAGGTACATACTCCCTTAAGCGATTTCTTCAAAAAACTCCTGGTACAGAAAAACACAAAGATAAATGAAAAACGTAATGGTGTCACTTTGTTGCCATGGTGACTCCGATTGCAATAAAACCCACATCATAAGAAATTTTCATCTTTATGTAATACAGTTGTGGTAACCTTTTTTCCATATCTTTACTCATACCGACGTAGTTAAGGCTCAAACTTGGGAGGTATCCCCCTAAAAAAATCCAGTCGAGCCACCTTAAAGAATAAAAATTGTGGCATCTAGATATGGAGCAAGTTGGAAGAACTGCAGAAAAATTATTTTTATAAAATCATCAAGTATTTTCACCTGATACAGTATGTTTGGTTCTGTTCTCTGTGAATAAATATAAACAATTCAGAAATTAATTCCAGTAGAAATTCAATTTCCACTGTGGTACTGCACCTGAAGAGGATTGGTGAATTCCTTTGTAACTGCTCAGAAGAACTTCTGTTTCCACAGTACCAGCATTGCTATCGAGATCAACAACAGATGAACTGGGAGAGGGGAGGGTGGAGAGTTCATCACCATGGCCCCATCTGGAAGGATATCCACCTACACTAAAAGGATTCATATCGTCTTCATCTGTAAACGTTGAAAGAGGCAAATTGCCGGTGAATCATTGGACAAGGAACAACTATTTACATGCACTACATGTACAGTGTAAATATACAGCTGTTTCGAGAAAGGCTGTTGGAAAAAGTGCACGCGACAATCCTGAAAGGTATTGTGGGTGGTTTTGAGTTCACTGTTCTATCATTAATTGTTATGTTTATTTTGCTTTATATGCAGTAATAATTCTTTATATGTTGTAATAGTTTGCCTTTTCTCTGTAATTTTGTACTTATTAATTTTTATTCTCATTGTAACTTAGCAGCACATTGTAACTCTCTGACCTACGCCATATAAGCCTCTGGCTTTGGCATCTTATTATCGTTAACTTGTGCTTTGTGTACTTATTTATCAATAAAAGAATTAGAATTAAAGAAATTTGAAAAAAATGGCACGAGAGGCGATGGACTTATGTTTGAAATTACTACAGGAAAGCAACAAAACTAAGTTCCAAAGCTACAGTGTCAGGAACAGTGTATTGATCATATCCCATATTACCTTTCGGGATTGTTGCACACACATTTTTCTCTGACAACCTTTCTCGAAATAGCTGTATACAGTGTATGTAATGCTTAGCAGCATGTCAAAAATGAAATACTGAATAAAAAATCATAACTGGAACCAATCACAATCAACGATGCAAACAAATAATAATAAATTGTAATGCAATAATTGCATGACAATTATTGATAAAACACCTCTCCCTACCTTCGATTTGGTGAGAAACGAAATTTAAAATCCTTTAAGCAGGACAATTTTATTGACCTCTTGAGACAATCTGTACATGTAGACTGGGGAAAGTAAGTATCAAATGTTGACAACTGCAGTCTTGTCATCAAAACTAGGCTGCAATTACACTGTACCAGTGATTACAACCAAAGAAGATTTCTTGAGGGGTTCAAAACGTCACAGACAGATCTCAACCCACAAGTAAGGAGAGGCTCACTCATCCACACTCTCAGGGAAGATAAGGACCAGAACTTGAAAATGTTTTTTTTCTCTGCCCTACAGGCTTTGGCCTACAGCGTTTGGATTATCAATAAGGTGAGGGTACAGTACCCTCAAGCTTCTTTCCTAGACCTGCTGCTGATGGACTCTATAAATTTGCTGATGTTTGAAGAAAATGTTTTCCTCTTACTAATCTCGACATTCAACCCCCATGAGATTATTTTTTGAAACTCTGTTCACCAGTGGACAGAGCAAAAAGCATTCCTGATTGGCCAACAGAATTTCAACCTGTCAGGGAATGTCAGATTTCAGTGGATACAAAGGAGTACCATTTGTTGCATTGCAGCTTGCAGCATCTCAACTGATTTGTATTTGCTGAACAAAATATTCTTTGCCAGAATTTTCAGACATCAAGAAGTTCTTCAGCTCTAAAACTCTAAACAACATTCTTAAAAGCAAACGTGCTGTTCTTGAATGAAAAATATTTCTGAAAAAGGAGTAAACTTTTTATTATCAAAATGCAAAAAACCAGACACATGGACCTGAAGTTGCTTCTGATTCAAAGCAAAGAGTGGCTTAACTATTCTTAAAAATAAGGTGTCGTTTGTCGATAATTCATGAGGCAATTGCTCTGAATAATATGACCTACAACTTGTTTTCCTAAGTATACAATAATTCAATAATTGAACTGTACAATAATTTTTACTCCCAACAAAATAAACGTATCTTTCAAATTTACCTATCTAAAAAGCTACAATGTATTTTAAAGCTCTAACATGAAAGAAGTCTGGTTACCGTATGATAATGACAGCTTAGACCAGCGTCCCGTTGAATAATTTATGCTTTACTTTGTTTCTGTTACCGTCGTGATGGTCGAAGACTTTTAGGATTTATTCCCAGCTGATTTTCAATAATTCTTGAGACAATCGTTCCGGTATTTTTCAGTCAGGTGAAGTTTAATTAGTACTTAGCATGTAAGCTTAAATTTTAAAATCTAAAAAGATTGACTGCGTGCTTGCTTGGTTTGTTTACTCATAACGACTGAAGGTTAAACGCAAATTCGGAATAAATTTGCAGTAGGCACCCGCTGACGACCAAAAATGGCACAAGTTTGACTTTTACATGTATTAAAAAACTTGGTTCCTACTCCAAAAGGTCACTCCGATATACAGATGACGAAAGGAGATCGTTATAGAGAACTAACCCCAAGATATTTGTACAAGAAAGGTTCGAATGATCTCCTGGAATTTTAATACGAGGATTTTATACGCGGTTACCTGGGACGCGTACGTCTATTGATTAAAGCTGGAAGACCAGTAGTGCTCATTCACTGTACCATTAACCTTACATATACATCATATTTGAGGTTAACTTTACTTTACAAACTCCTCAAAAACCACGAGGCTAAACATGGCGTACGGGACAAATAACGATTATCGTATAAAACTGAATACCAACCCTGCTCACCTGAAGTAGATAATTTGGAGGTAGTACTGTATCCAAAAGGGACAACTTTCGTCGATAACTCCTTGGCGTAAGCTACGTTGACCCACTGTAAAAGCTCATCGACTTTCTTGGCAGGAGATTTGTTAGAGGAACTGTTAAATCTTCTTTCCAGTGAATCCATAAAGTAAAATTTCGGCGCCGGAGAGAGCAAATCGGAAGGACGCCGTGGATAAGTCGTGAAGCTTCGGACACCCTCAAACTGAGCGATGTAAGCTTCTAGAGCTTCCGTGGCAGATTTGTAAACGGTGTCGTCGAATTCTAACCGGCTTTTGACGGGCCGCTTTTGATCATTTCCATTCCCATTAACGCCGTGTAGAGTCGACTTCATGTGACTCTGAAATCAAATACTCCTATGAATAATAACTCATTCCGAAGTCGTTGGGATTCGAATGATGGCGGCAAAACAATGCTTATTATACATTGCGCATGTTCTCGCTGCTGTGCGTGCGCGAGCGAGAGCACGCGCTTCATTTATTTCGCGCCCACGCGAAGGGGAGGGAAAGCTGCGGGAAGAATTGAACAAAAAGTGAAATTAGTTCCTAATTTCAAGAGAATATCAATTTATTATTTATTAGTATCATGGATATTTTACGTTTTAGCATGGGTAAGAAAATTTGGTTATGTATGAATTCCAAGAAATTTTGGTTCTGAAAAAGTCGTCCTTAAGTACGTCCACCCCTTCATGTAAGCCAGGGTAAAATTTTGCATTTCAAGCACCCGCGCGTTTCGGCGGTAAATCACATGGCCACTCGGACTCGAAAAAGAAACAACGACAAGCCGAGTGCTTCTTTCGACTAATTAATGTCTACATTGACGTGGATAACAGGGCAAGAGCTAGAGATAAAAAACAAAGGAGACCAATTTCGTTGAAAAAAAACATTTTTATAGCGGCCAGCGGCGGTGAGAAAATGAAAAATGCTAGCGGCCACCAACGTGAAAATGAGCGGCTGTGAAAAAATGCCAACAGGAGGCAAACGACATTTCCTCCATAAAACGTGTAAATAGGAAGTTTCTGGAAGTTTCAAGTTGCAGTCGTGAAAAACAACGCCAAAGAAATGTACTTAAAACTGTGTGCGGCGTGTGTGTTCTGTAGTGAATTGTAATAATGTCGTGAATTATAATACCGCTCGTAAATTGTAATAACCATGGTTAATAATTTAGAATTATTATGAAGCCCGTAAGACGCCTTTGTTATATATTTTTGTGGACCTGACGGTGCATAACGTTTAATAGCATTCCCATCATTTTGATCTACTGACCAATAAAACAGTCCCATTAATTTACTCCGTCGCAATTTGCCAAATGAAAACAAAGGATTATGCACCCTCAACTGAGCTTCCAACATAAACTACAGCATTTGATGTTTGTTGCCTTTCATAACCAGTAAGTTTTCGTAAATTGTAATAACAAGTTGTCGTAATTTGTAATAATCCTAGCTGTCATGAATTGTAATAACACTTAGTCGTATTTTCTAATAAGTCTTAAATGTTAAGGGCTTAGCTACTGTAATTGTCTTGTCTATCAAAGCATTTCAGCCATTATTTAGCCAGCATTATGGCAACAAGTAAAACATCAAACCCACCACCTGATGAACTTATTCGAAACAACCAACCAACCAACACACTGAGCAACTAACTGTTACTTCCACCAATATTGATCACATTAGGAGCCGGCCATTAGGAAAATTGTGTAGGGAGGGGGTAGAGACGGTTCGAGCCGCATAAATAGCGGTCAATAGCTGTCGCATTTGCCCACTGGGATTTTTTATTGTTTTTAATTTTTAGGCTTAAAAACAATAAAAAAATTCAGAAATGTTTCAAATGAATCTGCCCCTTGTTATCTAAAGGTGTTCTTGGTGTCTGAGTAAGTGTTCATTTTCGAGACTTATTACAAAGTACGCTTATGTGTTATTACAATTCACTGACGTCAGCTCGGCTTATTACAAATTACGACAGCATCTTATTACAATTTACGACAACTTGGTTATTAAACCTCGACAACTGTTATTACAATTTACAACTGAACAGTTATTACAATTCCCGACAGAACACACATGCAAAGTTGGTTTTTTGGTTAATTAACCTAAGGATTTTTTTGCCTTTCTTGTAGCCTTTGCCGTTTACAATTACATGATTTTACGTTTTGTTTGTGAAACTATAAATATTAACGAGAGCTTCGTTTTTAGCTCTGGCTAAATGAAAATATTAAAAATGTGCTATTTCAGTGTTTCGGTTTCCTTGATATAGCGTCTTACCCCTGCATTCGTAAAAGTTTTAACCGTAGACGCCATCTTGGCCCCGAGAAATACGGAAATGTGAAGTTACAAAAATTTCCCGCCAAAAATTATTGACAATGATAATATGAAGCTATGAAGCCAGGCATCATTTTCGTTGATAAGCAGGCAAGGCAGGCCATTTTATATCATCGACATTGCCATCCCTGGAGATGCACGAGTAAAAGACTGCTTGCTCCAAAGCAATGTCTGAGGTGCTTCAGTTTAATGTTGATGATGACGATGATGATGATGATGATGATAATAATAATAATAATAATAATAATAATAATAATAATAATAATAATAATAATGATAATGATAGTAATAATGATAACGTTCTGTGCCATTGGTGCCAATGGTACTTAATAATTATAAATTAAATGCATAACTTCGGTTTTCGATTAAAAAAAAAACTGAATAACCGCCAGCACGCGGTCTAGCTAATCTACAAATGTTTCTGATACTGAATTAGTAGCCATGGGTAAAACACAGAGTAAAGGAGTCATAATAAATAATTCCGACTCACTGTCTGCCAATCTATTTTCCTTTGTAATAACTTTCGCTTTACCAGGTCAGAAGAATGGAAAGGATAAACAAACATTAAAGGAAATTGTCCTTTGTGACTTCGAAAATACACTGCGATATGTTTTATTAGAGTGACAGGGAAAGTCTGTGAATAGACTCGTTTGGCCTGTTAGCAAGAGCTGTTTCTCTGGCAAACAAAGGAAAACAAAGACTCTTTGATAGAGAGTTTAATTAAAACTAGCTGCCTTATTAACCGGTCGGCTGGCTTCTCTAATTGACCCTTTTCAAGCTTATTTGGACTATGCACAATTAACCTGACTCTCAGTTAATTAGACATACACCTGTGTAGTATATACAGCCTATTCCTTTGTATTGCTTTGTGATGTTTAAAAAGTTTTGTTTAATTCATAAACCAACAGACAACGTTGCGAGTAATTCGGTTTGTGACTGCTAAGAAAGGGGTTGCAAATATTGATCTCTTTTACAAAAAAGATGTATTTCGTACAACGCGTGTTATTCTCCATTTTCTACTGGCTTGTATTATCGGAGATAAGTATTCAGTAATTTTCCAAATAATGAATATTAAAGAGGGGTATTAACCCTCCTATTAAGAATTCATGTGGCTATCGAATCTTGCCTGAATTATGCGTTTTTATCGTCAGCAAAGCAAGATAAAAAGACTAAAACCACGATAAAGTCGGCATCTGTCTTACCCGAAAATTGTTATCCTATTATATACCGGATGTCTTAGTGTATCATAGCGCTGCTCGGTTTTCCATTTCAAATGAATTAAAGTGACAGTGGAGATTCGTTAAATTCGGTTTTTAACAACTGAAATACACAATAAACCAGGGTAATCAGTTCCCGTATTAAACTTAATAATCTCCCGCAAAGGGTGCGTCCGATCGACTCGTATTCCGGAATAGGCAATGAAGAATTGGTATAAAGCCTAGCAAAACCAATTTTGGCATCCATTGCATTGTATTACCTATATAAATCTGCTAGAGAAAAATTATAAAAAGATGCAAGTAGTCTTCAAGAGGTCCAAGAACCATGGTAGAAGATCGCGAGATTTCTAACAAAACTTTGCGTGTTCTAATTCCAGAATACGATCAATCAAAAGCACGCTTATTGAACAGGTGCTTATCAGTTATTTATTTCAATCCGCACCGAAAGTTGTTTTAAGGAGACACCCGGGAAACTAACGCAGCAATTAACGGTGGAGTTAACGGCTATCTGACACAAGGAACAAGGAAAAGAGAGGAAGAAGAAGCTTTCTAAGTTAGCGTAAAATGAAATCCATATACACAGCATTATTAGTGGTTTGCATTTTCCTCCTCACTGTTGGTGAAAGTGAAGAGTATGATGTCAACATACCAGGGAAAAAAGCGACAAGCAAAAGACGACTGTTTCAACAGGTCAGATTCTTTTCATTTATACAAGTTCGTTAACCTGGTCTTGAAGGCATCAGAGAAATTGCATGAAACTCGAAGAAAAGTTTAAAGAGATTTCTATTTATTTCGTTCAGTTGGAATATTAGTTCTTCTCTTACTTCCTCTGTTTCTTTTTTCAGGATTTCTCACTAAACTATCGACGTGACCTTTGCTCAGCTGCTCGTTCGTTAAATTGTGGGAAAGAACAACAAAACGAAGCAGAAGACTGATTTAGAGATGAAGAATTTTGCCTTTGCTACATAACCACCTTACTAAGACGAGGGGAAAATAATTTATCAAACTGTAAAACTGAGAACCCTTACACTCTTGAATGTTGACAATAAACATCCTAGTCTATAAATGGCTCGATTCCTGACTGGCAAAACTGGCCCCACACGCTCTTCTTTTGGAAAGTAGTTTGCAATCGTCCCTGAAAACTCAAAACAAACTAATTCAACTGGCGAAACATTTTTTTACTGCTCCAGTAGTAGCATGCTTTGCTACTGTCTCCGAAACCCAGTGAGAGGCCACACTCCCCCGTTAGTGGAGAATTAATGGGTTTATATTTGAGAACTTGAGTTTGATGTAAATTCACCCTGGACCGTTCCTGGGGTACCGGAGTTTCTCCACTAAACGCCCAGCCTTGGTGATAATTTTAACTAGGTTTTGTGGTACTTGCCTTTGTTTAGATTGCCGGCCATTTTTAAATAATAGTTTTTACACCTCTTTTCTCAGCTTTGTATATTTCCTTTTTACCGGTCGAAGCTTATTTCACCGCGTCGTCCAATTTTAAAATTGCGCGTCGTCTTCTCTTTCGGCAGAACCGAATACCCAGCCTTTGCTTCTCAGTAATACTATGGAATAGGCACAGAAGGCTCTTTATATTACACATTCATAGCCGGATTTTTGAAAACATTATCGCCAAATTAATCTTTTGCGTCTAACGGTTTTTTCGGCCAGAAACTATCTCTAAAGTAGAATATTAAAAAAATCGCGGGAAAAAAACTAAGAGCGCAAGAACTACTTTTTTGCCTTCTCCTCCTTTCCTTTTCTTTCGCTACCGTGATTTTGGAAGCTTATCGCCGGGCTTAGGAA